AACAAGTGCATCGCTACTAGTAACAAGTGCCTTACTAGTAGTAACAATGTTTGCTATTAGAATTTGCTTGGGAAACTGTTTGCTTGCACGCTCGACCGCCGAACCGATCCGCCTCCGGCGGGAGGGAAGGAATAGTATCGTTCTCAGCGACGGCGTCATTCTCCTGGCAGAACACTTCCATAAAAGACAGCAAAGACAAAAGAATAGTAAAACACACCTAATAGCTTCTTGTTACTACAGGTGAAACGATTCCCAGTGAAACGATTTCCAGACAGCAAAAACAAAAGAATAGTGAAACAGTAAACTATATATTGGAACCTTCTTTGTTTCTAGCAATGGCCTCCAACCTAAGAGCAAACTATATTATGATTCTCGAATGTGAGATTCATCTGGTTCTTTGGAAGAATCTATACCTGTATCTTTCGTGGATTTGATGTTGGGCAACGCCAAAAGACAAACTCTTCATAGCTCTGGTTTTACTTGGACTGCCAACAACATCTGCATGCTTTTGCATGATCAGACTTGTAGGAGACCTTTGAAATGAATGAAACACAATGAAACGATATGAAAGCCGTTATAGAATCACATCACATCGAAGAGCCTCTTTGACCCTGTGAGCAAACGAGTCGGTCACCTCCTCTGCTGCTTCCTGGCTGTTGAGAGGCTGAAGTAACGCTCTGCTGTCTCGTTCGGATTTTCTGTGGGCCCCGGTTTTGCTTGTGTGGGAGCTTCCACAACACATGCTTTCTGCATTACAGTCCCAGCGAGGCATTTGGGCATGCTCATCCAACTCCGAACAAGGATCTGATGCAAGGATGGTTAGCTTTCACGATTTGAGCGCTTAGGACCTTTGTGGAACCAGAAATCAAATCATCTGCGTAGTTTTTGTCAACTTTCCCAGAAAGAATTTGCCCATGCAGTTGTTTTTTCTTTAGGATATTCAATTATTCATTCGTTTGTTCAATCGAGGGTATGACAACTGCAGCTGCTACACTTTGCAAAAGACACGCACACGGAACCGAAAAACACTGGTTTGTAGAAATTCACATCTGGAGAAGGATGACCGCGCTCTATTTGGGTTTCGTCTGGGTTTGTTCGGAGGGAACCACACGCAATTGGTCAGGTCCAACTTGGTCAGTCCTGCTCTTCCTCGTCATCCGCATCCTCACCTTCCTCTTCACCTCAGAAGTGCATCGCTACTAGTCACAAGGGCATTACTAGTAGCTATTTGCTACTAGTAGTAATGCACTTATTACTACTAGCGACACTTGTTACTAGTAACAAGAAGCTACTAGTAACAAGTGCATCGCTAGCCACAATTGCACCATTGAAGTAAGATCTCTGTTCGTCCAAAACCCAGCTGCTCGTCTGTCGACATGTTGCTGACCGAAAACTCCGAATGTGTCAGATGTTGTGCAATCATTTTTTCCCTATCCGAGGACCTCAAACCCATATGGGATGCCCAGATTGAGACAAAGCTCCTTGATTCACAATTCCTGACCTTCAAGGATCATGTGACGTTGCTAGCACGTGATCTGCAACGTCCAAACGTGGGCTCTTTGTGAGTTCAAGCCAGCAAAAGCCATTCTTTGCTTTCCGTGGGCGATGTTGCTTTCCAGCCTTTAGAGGCTGAGGTATATGGGCTGATGGGGTGAAATTCCAGCCATAAAGACATACATCTTTCATAATCCTCTTCACTTTACCTTACCAACACTAGAGGACATTTTTTTTTGATGCTCGCAGCGAATCCGAGGAGTGGCATCCCTCCCGTACATTTACTAAGCACACAAAGCTTGCTCAGCAAATTGCAACCTAGTAGCAGTGGCCTCCAACCTAATAGCGATGGCCTCCACCCTAATAGCGATGGCCTCCACCCTAATGGCGATGGCCTCCAACCTAATAGCGATGGCCTCCTACCTAATAGAGATGGCCTCCAACCTAGTAGCAATGGCCTCCAGCCTAATAGCGATGGCCTCCTACCTAATAGAGATGGCCTCCAACCTAGTAGCAATGGCCTCCAACCTAATAGAGATGGCCTCCAACCTAATAGCAATGGCCTCCAACCTATAGCATTGGCCTCCACCCTAATAGCGATGGCCTCCAACCTAATAGCGATGGCCTCCAACCTAATAGAGATGGC